CAGTTCCTGATGGTCAGGGAGAACCTCCTGTGTTGCAGTTTGTGCCCGCTGCCTCTGGTCCTGGCACTGGGCTCCACTGGGAAGAGCCTGGCTCCATCATCTCTGCACCCGCCCTCCAGTCCCTCATTCATCTTCGTGGCCCTTCACTGGGCTCTCCCCAGTATGTCCCTGTCTCTCTTGTACTGGGGAGCCCAGCGCCGGACACAGCACTCCAGGGGTGGCCCCACCATTGCTGAGCAGAGGAGAAGCATCCCTTCCCTCCACCTCCTGGACATATTTTGCCAAATGCAGCTCAGGACACCATCAGTCTTCTTGGAAGCTTCTGTTCAGTGTCTACCAAGACCCTCAGGACCTTTCCAGCCAAGCTGCTTCCCAGCTGGGTGGCTCCCAGTGGGTATTGGTGCCTGTGGTCCTTTCTCCGCAGGGGCAGAGCTTTGCACATCTTGTTCGGGAGAACTTCAGGAGGTTCCTGTCAGCGCGTTTCTGCAGCAGCATGACCCTCAGGAGCATTGCCCACTGCTCCCACTTTGATGTCACCTGCCAACCCGCTGAGGATGCACCTGCTCCATCACCCCAATTATTAATGAAGATGTTAAACAGGACTGGCCCCTGTATCGACCCCGGGCTACACCACTAGTGGCTGGCCTTCAGTTAGACTGTGTGTCACCGATCACCACCCTCTGGGCCAGTTTTCAGTCCACCTCCCGGTGCCTGGTGAGCCCCAGGGGAGCTGCCAGCTCCAGCCCTTCCCCGAGCCCACACTGGCTGGGTGCAGCCAGGTCTCAGCACCAGGTGACAGAAGAGAGCCTGAGACATGGGTTGCTGGGTTTTCCACTGAAGCTTCTCCTGGCTGTCCTCCAAACATCAGCTTAGGGTCAGCTGGAAATTAGACTTGGCTCCATGCTGGCTTTCCAGCCATCAGGTGGCGGGGCCACCACTGTCATTCCTTTTCCGTACGTGTGCATGCTCAAGTCATGAGCTTAGAGCCTTCAAACCGTGTGTGGATTCTGCACTCCTCGGTATTGCTATTAATGGCAAAACCAGCACTTGGTAAACAGAAGAGATAAGCCTTAGGCTGCTGTCCCTGACAGAAGTACACAGAGAGATGATTTCCTTTTCCTTTGGGTGCTAAGAAGAGGCTCACGGTGTTCTTGATTTACAGAGGTAAAGCTAATGTGAGTGCTGGGCTTTGAGGTTCTGGGGAACCCTAAGGAAAGTATCCCTGGAAAGATAAACCTGTGGAGTCAACTGTGCGCCGCAAACCCAGCGAGTTCTCCGGGTGCCTGAGACTGGGCGGTGAGAAGACCTGATGAGACTTCATCATTTTATACTTTAGGCCCCGACTGAATACAGTCCAGGCAAGACTTTCTAAGGATCTTTGGAAAACAAGGAGAATGCGTTTAAAATGCTAGCTCGCCCAGAGCACTCGGCACTGGAAAGAAAAGACAAGCCTGACACCCACTTCTGCTAAACCTGTCTTTGCAAAATGAGAAGAAAATCAGGTGTTCTTGGGAAGTGTGCCATGCCCTGAGTCCAGC